ACTTACTAAAGTCTACAACGAATATTAAGTCTGCTTCATACTTTTCACGAAAAGCTACACAAATAGTTATCTGCGCAGAATCGTCATTAATTTTGAACTGGTAGACTAAAATGAAAGCACAAGTCTGCAGCACCAGCCGCCAACTCTTCGGCTACATTCTTTTAGCGGTCTCAAAGTGTGGAGCGCATTTGTAAGGCAGCAGCCTGCGAAACATGAACCTTGGATTCACAGTCAGAACACGCTAACTACTATGCCACACCTGATCCTCAATATCGAAAGTAAAAACATTGACTGGATAATATGCTAAAAACTATTTACATCAGTAATGAGCTGTGAATGTTTACCCAAAATATATTTTAATATAAAAAGCCGTCCGGAGGCTCCGGCGTAAGCTTGGGGGCATTTAACACTTAAATTCGGGATTTGATCCTTGCCGAGGCATAAGACATGCAGTCCTTTGTGTATATTTTTGCTTAACAACAAACGTGAACAAGTCACATTTTGTCGTTACGATCCCAGTCAAAGGTTCAAATGAATACTTGTACCAAGTATATAAAAGACGCAGCAGTATTTCCATTAATATAGCCACGTTTTGGAGACTCGCATTATACAAGAAAAGACACTAAAAGATGTTAATTCGTGTAGATAATAAATGTATTATATTAATTTGCTACTTTTAAAAAATAATAAAACCTTTTGTAAACGTGTCCTGTATTATTATATGTATTATATACAGGTTCTATTTGATACTTGTGTTTAAAGACTATTGATTTGAAAATATTTTCAAAAAGAAAAGGTTTGTTTACTTTATTGGATGTGTGCGTCTGTATTGGTCGGATGGAGATTAAAAGAGCTGAGGCCAGGGCGACAACTTGACGAACAGATGAAGAATAAACAGCGCTTATTCAGAGCGGGCTGGGATCTAAGGACCTGAAGCCGTCGAATACGTAACGTTGTATAAATTCTCTTTAACGTTATTTGTCGTCAGTGTATAACACACTCGCCTCGACAAAAAGTTCAGCACACACAAAAAAAGCAGACAAAAACACACTAAAAACTTGAACCCTGTTATACAAACATTTCATAAAAAATTAACTTTTAAATATTTCCCAGTGCACAGAGAATAAATTACATTTCAAACGAAAGATATATATATATATACGCATGTTGTGGTAGCCTGTCGCTGCAAGCGCGAGCTGTAGCACTGTGAGCAACATATTTAAACATTCGACAATGCAATGCCACCAAGGATTGAAACGGCTGAAGGAATATATATGGCTGCCCTTTTTGACGAACAACGAGATTGTTAAACTCGGAGCTTAACCATACGCTATGCCGATCTGAACCAACGCCTTCATTTGCAAAGTGAAAGCTACATTTACGAATAAGAATCCTTCGGCCTCCACCCCTCAAAAGAAAAACAACAACAAAAACATACTGATGAATTCAAATTCTATGACGAGGAACCCACTTTGAGACTAATAATGGCTGGAGACGGCTTGAATGGGTAATGAAGAAAAACTTTAATACAAGTTTAACATAACAGCAAATGTACAACGTTTCGACACGGTTTTGTCATCACCAGGTACTGATGAAGCCGTACCTTTCTCCTGGCGCCAAGTAAACAAATAAAGACTCGTAGTTTATGAAGACACACAAAATTCGAGCCAAGCCTCAAAATAGATACCCCCCCCCCAAAAAAAAACAACCAACAAACTATAACCTCATTCGACAATATAACTGCTGGGCATCTCAATGCAGCTCCAATAAAATATTGTTTCAGGTCTGCTTAACGCGCTGCTGAATGCCTTTGTACGCGTGCAGTGGAAGGTCTGTAGAAAGCTTATCAAAACTTGTGGCCTAAGTTTGACCTTACCGTCTATCGCAGTGTCGGGCAGTTGTGCAGTCATGGCCATAAAATTGAACGTGGTAAATAATAAGAGGAATTAGGTTCAAGGCCATCACGAGACACCAAAACATCATTCTTACAGAGTTGGATTAACTTCAGGATTTCCTCTGGCAGGTATCACATGTATAGTGTGTCGCGTTGTGTGCCACGTGCTGCATTAGGCTAGAACAGTTATTACCCACTCACTCCGTGAATGTTTAGTTTGTGTTCTTTGACGTAGTCTTTTCGAGTGTATTTCTTCTGACATACATCACAAGTAAAGTGTGTGCGAGTTGACTTTTTCTTGTGACGCTCCAGGTGTCGCATCAAGCTGCTTTTGTTAAAGAATGACATTTTGCAGTTTGGACAGGTAGGCTTCAACTGAACAGAAAGTTTGTCTTGAAGGTCAAAGAAGAAACACTGAGGCTCTGTAAAATAAACAAAAACACAGAACTTTATACGACCACTGAATAAATGTACAACAACGAAAACCAAAATCACAATAACTTCTATCTTAATGTTTATTTATTACCGATGGTATAAAAAGCATAAAATTTAAATTAGAATACGAAGTATACACACATCAGGCTACGAAAAATCAAGCACGGTGGTTAACAGCACTTTTGATAAACTACACAGCCCCATCTAGTGGGAAGTTCGCGCAACTAGAACCATAGACTAAATGTCTGTTTACAAACACATATTAACCAGTTGGATCGGTTTGCCAACTTCGCAAGGAATCAAACATAGTTCTTATCATGGATACGCTTCAGTGTATATTGCTTATGAAGTTTTATTTTCAAATTTCTATTTTAAAAGTGTTAAACGCCGCCCATAACAACAAACGCTAGTTAGTTTCCCCGTTTATGTTAACAGAATAAAGGCATTCCTATAATATGGAAATTCAAGCAACCAGTCTTAGTGACGTCGCAGGTGAACAGGTCATAACGACTGCGCAGTTTATGATAATAATCGACTCGTTTGTTTTTGTTTAGAATTGTTTGTTTGGTTTGAATTTCGCGCAAAGCTACACGTGGGCTATCTGCGCTAGCCGTCCCTAATTTAGCAGTGTAAAACTAATGGGAAGGCAGCTAGTCATCACCACTCACCGCAAACTCTTGGGCTACTCTTTTACCAACGAATAGTGTGATTGACCGTCACTTATAACGCCCCCACGGCTGAGCATGTTTGTTGTGACGAGGATTCGAACCCGCAGATTGCGAGTCGAACGCCCTAACGACTTGGCCATGTCGGACTAGTAATTTATGCAATGGACCAAATGGCCGAATAAGACACCATCTAGCTAGGATACATAACCATCTCTAACTTTGAACTGCTGACCATAGAGAAAGAAACCAGTCAGAAGAACTCAGCCTATAAGGCTTCTCCTAACTAAACAGCGAGCTGACTGTCTACAAATATTAGTATAACAGACGAAAGTGTAAATTGTGTTCAGCAGCACACTGCAGCCTTGGTCCTTTGTAGACAAAAGAATAACATATTGCATTTATTGAATAAGAAAACAGTAGAGGAGAATTTTCTCCAAACCAAACGTATCTTTGGAGGTCTTTACCTAATACGGATCAGAACATTTCCCCTTGGAGGTCTTTACCTAATACGGATCAGAACATTTCCCCTTGGAGGTCTTTACCTAATACGGATCAGAACATTTCCCCTGATGGGAAAGATATAAACCATTAGTGGAAGATACCTTTAAGACTGATTCCTTAGAATGTTTTACTTGCCTAAAAAACACCAATGGTAAATATAATAAGGCAGTAATCTGACGATACAGAACTAACTACAGTGAAAGTCAATAAATTCGGTAGTTCAGCTGTTCAATAAGATTGGACAGTTTTACCTTTGTAGCTGTCACTGTAATGTCAGTAGTGACTTAGATGTCACCCTGGTGCCAATAGTAGAGGTAACTGTCACTCTAGTGCCAGTAGAAAGTTGAAGTGTTCAGTTCGTAATTAAACAAAGAAGAAAATGTTGAAAAACTCAGAGGCTAAACTAAACTAAAAGCTATGCTCAATACTTAGTCTACAGTAAAATAAATACAATATTCATCACGTTGAACCTAAAACCTTTGAATAGAAAAAAAAGTAAAACTGTAAACATGCATACAGTTTCCTTTACAAATACCTTTTTGAAATTATATTGTTTGTACTGACATAAAAAAAACAAACTTTTCTACATTGTGGAACACTAGACATTTGGGAGTTTGTACTAACATAAAAAAAGACTTTTCTACATTGTGGAACACTAGACATTTGGGAAGTTTGTACTGACATAAAAATACTTTTCTACATTGTGGAACACTAGACATTTGGGCGTTTGTACTGATATAAAAATACTTTTCTACATTGTGGAACACTAGACATTTGGGAGTTTGTACTGACATAAAAAATAATTTTCTACATTGTGGAACACTAGACATTTGGGAGTTTGTACTGACATAAAAAATTCTTTTCTACATTGTGGAACACTAGACATTTGGGTGTTTGTACTTATATAAAAAATACTTTTCTACATTGTGGAACACTAGACATTTGGGATGTACTCCTGAATAAAAATTCACAATTTTGCAACTAATACACATCTGTACATTAAATCATTATATTGGTGAAACTTCTTTAAACTGTGATCTCATTATCCCAACAAGAATCAAGATCTTTTTCTTACCAGTGAATAATGGTTAAATGAACTTACACCTTTGTACAGGATAAAAACAGTTGTGTCATCTTGTCGATCCGAAAGGAGATGTCTCACAACTGTTAGGAAACATTTGCTGAAACATACATACTTCATTAACAATCCTGATAATAACCACGATGACATTTAGTTTGAACTTTGCTTCAGATTGCACAATTAGTTCGAAAATGCCTAAAACTAGATACTGTACTATTTTTACTGATTGTGCTATTCATTTTGATTTAAGTTTCAAACTTAAGAGCAGAGAATATAATCGCAGTAAAAACAAAGAAGATAGAAAAACTTCATTCCACTAAACCGAAATACGGCTACAAATTATTAATATTTTTAACTGCTGTTTTCACTCACACTTTCAAAGAAAAGAAACACTTAACAATAATGAAACTGAAGTCAGTTGTATTGCATGTACATATTTATTTCTCTTTAAAAGCTGGAAGGAATACATTAAATCACTAAATAAATCCACAGAAACTGTGAAATTGAATTTACTATAATTTAATTTTTACACTAAACATCAACCTAAAACGAGGTAAGGAGACTGCCCTGTTCAGATTGTGTTTGTATATAGTGTTCTCAATTATTCTTATGAAACCATGCACTGTTGAGAGAGACAATTTAGGAACATTGGGAACTCAACAGAGAATTCAAATAAAATATCAGTTTATTAATAAAAACCCACAATACACAAATAACCTGTTATTTATTCAGAAGAAATGTTCATCAACTATGCTTAGAATGTATAATTTTGTCTAATTGTTTCCTTTCTTGAAATATGGTTTTGTTGAGAATATTATTTTTTATTTTAAACTGAGAAAGGAAGACATGATCAACACTTACAATGTATTGATAGCCTGAGTTCAGACAGTAAATAAAGTATTTTACTAACATCACTAATGGATCTTGGGGATGTGGTTTTTAGTAAGAAACCAACACTTACCATGTATTGATAGCCTGAGTTCAGAGAGTAAATAAAGAATTTTACTAACATCACTAGTGGATCTTGGAGATGTGGTTTTTAGTAAGAAACCAACACTTACAATGTATTGATAGCCTGAGTTCAGACAGTAAATAAAGTATTTTACTAACATCACTAGTGGATCTTGAAGATGTGGTTTTTAGTAAGAAACCAACACTTACCATGTATTGATAGCCTGAGTTCAGACAGTAAATAAAGTATTTTACTAACATCACTAGTGGATCTTGGAGATGTGGTTTTTAGTAAGAAACCAACAGTTACAAGTGAAACCCATGCCAATAATGAGAGGTTAGGAATACTCTTGCATGAAATGAACAAAACCTCAACTAATAAAAAGGCTGACAAAAGATTCAACACTATGAAAGCACTTTGAGGAAACATACAGATTACTTTCAAGCTATGTAAGTTTTCCGAGGTGTTTCATCATGCTTTTTCAGCTTGGCTCTTCACATTGTTTACAAAATAAAATGGATCAGTGATTTTGTCTAATGATAATTATGCATAATAGTAATAGAAATTTTGCCAAATATACAAATTTTTGTAAAACTTTATATTCAAGTGTTTTATTTGCATTTTAGAACTTGTCAAGAGGTTTACATATAAAAGAACCAAAACAAATGAACAGAGTGAACTTATAAGGCAGGGAGAGTAAGTTACTTTACAAATTGAAACCATCCAGTAGAGGTATTTCTTATGGGAAGAAAAATACATGATCATTTTTGTTCTAGGGTCAGGATTATATAATAAACATTTTAATATATGACCACAACATTAATTAGCTTCCAAAACTTGTTTCACATCGAAAATTTTTTAGATTATATTTTTTAACACTATGAATTTAATTAACCTGTCCTTATGCTAAAAAGCAGTAATACTACTGCAGGAAATCAATGTGTCTTTTTCAAAAAACTAGGCATGAAAAAAAAAATAACTGCAAAATAATTAGTATTCTAATATCATGTGAGAATAACGATGATGTCTTTGCAATGAAGGCTTGCGTGTGAACACCTTTCCACATTGCAGGCAAGGAAACTTTCGTGAGCTTCTATGTTGGAAATAGCGATGAGAGTGCATTGACGCACGAGAGCAGAAGGTCTTGTGGCAGATATCACAAGAAATTCCATCTCCCGAGATGCTGTTCAACATTCCAGGACTTAGAAAACTTGACGAAAAGCCTAAAAATCAAAAATATTTATTTTAGCTCTTGAAGCTTTACAGTAATCGGGGCTATATATATATATATATTTGTTTTACATATAATAACTAGGAAAAAAAAAAAAAAAAAAAAAA